AATTATGGACTTCAGCAGGATATCTCATATTTTTGAAGATGTTGAAGGTCACCTTCTCTCCATCAAAGTGCAGTGTGATTTCTCCCCTTTTCACCTTAATGATTGCATCACTTGTTGCCAGAAAAGGTCTCCCCAAGATTATGGGCACATCCCTATCCTCTTCCATGTCCAAAACCACAAAGTCTACTGGGTAAACGAAATTACTAACCTTCACAAGAACGTCATGTAAGATTCCCCTCGGGTAGGTCAGTGACCTATCTGCCAACTGCAAGTTCATGTTAGTAGGTACCAGAAATTTGTCCAGATCAAGTGATTTAAATACAGATAATGGCATGAGATTTATACTTGCACCAAGATCTAGTAATGCTTTTGAAAATTCTTTGATTCCTACCGTACAAGGAAGAGTGAAACTACCCGGATCTTTTAGTTTAGGTGGCAACTTTCTCAGAATAGCTGCACTACATTCTTCATTTAGAGTGATAAAAGCAGAGTCGTGCACTTTTGGTTTATTAGCCACCAAATCTTTCAAGTACTTGAAGTATTTAGGCATTTGTTTAAGTGCATCAACAAGTGGTACATTAATATGTATACTTTCCAAGTTTTGAATAAACCTGTTGAGCCCTTCATCTACTTTGGCCTTCTTTTGTCTTACCGAATATGGTGGGATTGGAGTTGGCTGTTGTGGTTCCTTAATTGGTGCTGGGAATTGAATTTCCTCCATTCCATGTTTTTCAGCTTCTTGCTCCTGTTCAACCACCTCATCATCATCAGATACTTTCTCAGAAAATGTTTCATTCTTACCTGCAGGGTTACTTACGGGAGTGACTTTTTCACTTGGCTGATTGAGTTGCTTTCCACTTCTGAGAGTGTTGTTTGCTCTTGGTCATTCCCCTTGGGGTTTACAACTGTATCACTGGGCAGGCTTATGGTCTTTCGGCATTTTGATTTGCAATTTGGGCCAACTGATTTTCCAAACTTTTGCAAGACACTGCCAAACTCTTGATTGCATTTTGCACAGAAATCCATTCATCTTCCCTTGGTATGTATTGCTGGTTAGAACGTTGTTCATTCTGATAGTTGGGAGGCTTTCCATCTTGTCTGTGAAATCCTGGGGGTTGAGTAGGCCTCTAATAGCTCCCTTGTTGTGGTGCATTGTTCCAGTTAGGCTGCTGTTGATTTCTCCAATTGTTGAAGTTGTTGAATCCTCTAGCATTGCCCTGCCTGACAAACTAGACAGCTTCCATTTTAGAGGGACAATCGTCCAAATTGTGAGATCCATCACATAACACACACACCTCAGCCTTGGATTTGGACAGCTTACTCCTGAGTTTTGTCATTTCATTCATCATAACAGCTATTTGTGCTTATAGGTATGTACTGGGGTCAAGTTCCATCACTCCTGGCTGTTTTGTACTTGCCCTTGGATCAGATTGCCACCTTGAATGGTTGGTGGTCATATTGTCAAGCAACTGCCTTGCTGCATCAACCGGCTTCATCAGGGACACACCACCAGCTGCAGCATCAAGGGAGTCTCTTGTAGTTGGTAGCAACCCATTGTAGAAGATGCTCGGTTGGAGATGCTCTTCCAAACCATGCTGAGGGCATTTCCTGACCATTTCCTTCAGTCTTTCCCATGCTTCATAGAGTGTTTCTGTTCCATGCTGCTTGAAGTTTATTATTGCTGTTATGAGTTGTGCAGCTTTTGCAGGTGGAAAGAATTTTGTCAGGAAGCATTGTTTTAACTCTTCCCAAGTGGAGATAGAGTTGTTGGGTAATGTATTGAACCATGCTTGGGCATGATCCTGCAAAGTAAAAGGGAATAACCTCAGTCTAATGTCGTCATTAGATAAGCCTTGAATTTTAAAAGTACTGCATAAACGCAGGAATCTTCGAATATGATCATTAGGATCTTCATGAGGTAATCCATGGAACGGGCAGGCTGATTGAATCCATTGTATCATCTATGGTTTCAGCTCAAAATTGGTTGCTTCTACATTAGCGAACAACAAAGGGGATTGGACTTCTTCTTGTTGTGGAATAAAGAAATCTCTAAGCAATCTCTCTGGTTGATTTTATTGATCCCCACCAGGGTTCCTATTGTTTTCTGGGTTACCAACTTGGTTAGCCATTTCTGATGAACCTTCTTGGCGGTTCTGTTGCAACCGATTCTGCCTTATTTTTGCTGCTCTGGTTCTACGTATGGTAGCTTCAATTTCTGGATCAAAAACTGGCTCACTTCGTTGGTGCCTTCTAGTCATACACCAAAGAAAAGAAACTGAAGCTCAGTAGGGTAACCAGAGAAGAATTTTATATATTTACAAATAAACGAAAACAACAAATTTTTTTTGGAGGTTTTACACCGTCCCCGGCAACGGCGCCAATTTCTGGTGCGTGCCGAGTTCACCAAAAAAAATATTACTAGCTTGGATTGTGATTTTTTAGATAATGGAAGCTAGGTCGATCCCATGAGGACAGCTTATTACCAAATTTGTCGTTAAAAGACTACCAGTTGGACAAGGTGTCACTTAGGGGAATGAAAACAGTCACTCAGGGGAATGAAGGCCAGAGGTGTTCATCTCCTCTTCCTAATGCAGTAGTTGTGTAATTAGCACTGTAATGGTCAAGTTCTTGTTCATTTAGCTCTCTTATAACTCTAAGTCAGTTTCTATTTTTCCTAAAGTCATCTTTTTAACCTTAAAAATCTATTTTCCAATGATTCATTTCAGGTATAAAGTCATTAAGATCTCAGGCTTTATGAATGCTCATGTTAACTAAGTATATTCCTATCTTAGTTAAAACCATAGACTGTTACCTCTATGTCATAAGTTAAAGTTGAAACAATCCAAACCAAGTTTATCCTTCCAGATCTCCCTTAGTTCTAGCATGCATTGAATTTAGTGATCAAGTAAATGAATGTAGAAAAACCTTCAACTTCAAAACAAGGAACAGAACCAGTGCATTACAACAGTTACAACATAGGTTGAGGAGATTAACCCCTGGAAACTGCTTAGCTACTTATGCAGATTAATGCTACATCTACTACATCAAAAGACATTATAGAAGTATGCATAATAAACGAAGTTCAAGCTAACAGTCAAGAGACGAGAAAAAAGCTTGTGCAGTTCTGAGCCACTCCTGAGAGTGAAGGAGTTCACTCGTGTAAATGAAGCAGAAACTGGGATGGTTGTTCTCCAACTTGGCTTCCTTACTGAGTTATTGCTGTTCCTTCTTTCTTCTTGCCTTCTTCTGGAAATTTTCTGTGTATTTTGGCAACTAAAAAAGGTAGCCAGAGAGATGATTTCTTCTGAGAGTGATGCTTCCTCTTTTATAGAACCTTGCAGCCAGTTCTTTAATCACAAGAGCCTCCCATGCTTGTGAATTGTTTAATCCTTCCTAGGCCTTGTGTCTGGAATCCAGAATTGACTGGTCTTCTTCTCTTCTTCCAGCGGTGGCAGCAGCAACCTCATTGATCAGCATGGGTGGCTGGAATTTCGGCTGAGAGACAAGCATGCCCCTTGGAATTCAAATGAGAGACATACTCATTAATGGCAAGATGCTTTGTGTCTTGGGGGGTACTTTCTCGACCAGCTCAACAAAAATTTGTATCAGTAGCCCACAATTTATTCCTTTGGCCTCAATTTTCAGCAATTGTTCAATCGAGTCCTAACCTAATAAAAACACAAAGACTAGTTAAGAGAAATGCACTAATACTAGGAAATACCCCTAATTTCTACTAATTTCAGAGTTAATTGTGATTCTTTTATGTAACAAACAAACCATTATCACTACTCCCCTCATTGCCAATTGGTTTTGAGGTGGAACCACATAGGCTTCTATATGGTATCAGAGCCAGCCCGCCAAAAGTCGGACTCCAAAGCCTGATGTTATAGAACTAGTAGCGCTGAGACGTGAGGCGGTGACTGGGCTGACAAGCCCAACCCAAGAAGAGACGTTGGGCTTGCGGGGGAGTGTTGAGTATCCCACATCGGTGATGGGAGAGAGTTGATATCAATATGTGGAACTCCATGGGTTTCTATATCGAAAACACGAAAGTAAAAGTAAAAACGTCATCTTTGCATTCTTCTGGATGTAAATTTTGCTTGCATTAATGAACTCCATTGGTTGGATTCGATTCTTAGACCTCTTACGTACGTACTCACCCAGAGTCTTAAGATCACTAAAAATTTTAGTTTTAGCTTGATTAGAATTCGAAAATTTTGATTAAGATTTTTGGAAACTAGGCGGGCTTAGTTTAATTCTTTGTTTTTAAGCTGACTTTGTTATACTTTTGAATTTTGATTATTAAAATTTATTTTCAAAATTAACCGTGGCACATACTTTCCTTTGTTTGTAACCGACTCATATCTAAGTAGTAAAAATACATTACCAGGAATCGGACAAATCTCTCCCTTATATATTAAACTAGGGTCTCCTTACCGCTAAAAAATTTCAACGTTAGTAGTGATGACGGAACAAGTAGTTCTTGGGTTCCTAGAAAAGAACGAAGAGATATCGGATCTAGGGTTTTCGCCGAGGAGGATAAAATCAACCATGATGAACTTGAGAACATCATTAAGAGTCTAAAAGCCCACGAACGCGTTGATTTCAAGCTCACAAATCAGGACAGATGGGCGTTAACTGACGAGGGGAAAAATTACGTCGAATCGGGATCTCCAGAAGTTCAACTCTTTCTAGCTATACTTCCTGAGGGAATGAGTATAGAAAAATAGATTCTGGAAAAGCTAGACCTTTCTGTTTTCGAGATTGGTATCCAGCAGGCTTGTAAGAACAAATGGGTGGAAGTGAAGAAAATTGGTAAAATTCAAGAAAAGTTCCAAACGTTGAGGAAGATAGAGTTAAGGGTTTGCTCGTCAGAATCCAAAACGGAGAGACTTTGAATTTAGAGGATATTTCCGGTCTTAGAACCGACCCAAAAGCTCGTTGAGCTGAAGAGATCCGTAGTTTACAATGTTAGAAAGGGTTCTAAGTATACTCCAACCATGAAAAAAGTTACTACTGATCTAACAAGAGAGAATATAGCCAACTGGAAGGAATTGGTATTGAAAGAGTACAATTTCAAAGCTAATGGTTCAACCATTCAATGTGGCCATCTTCATCCTTTGAATAAGGTGAAGCGTCAAGTTGGGATGATCTTCCAACAGATGGGATTCGAGGAGAAGCCGGCGAATGCAAATTCTTACGTCGAAAGCAGTTTCTGGAATTTCGACGTCCTCTTTCAGCCTCAACAACACCCCGCGCGCGATGCTCACGATACTTTCTTCCTAAAAAACCCTAGCACAGCAAAAACATTGCATGAACACAAAGAGTATCTTGAAAAAGAGTAAAGTGTGTACACGAAACCGGAGGGTACGAATCCCGAGGTTATTGGTATGATTGGGATCCAGAAAAAGCGAACAAGAATCTCTTGAGGACTCACACAACAGCTGTTACAGCGAAGAAGCTGTATCAGCTTGCGCAAATGAAGCAAATTTCTTTTGACAGTATCAGTAAATACTATTCCGTTGATCGAGTTTTCATGAATGAATCCGTTGATAGGACTCATCTCGCTGAGTTTCACCAGATTGAAGGTGTGATTTGTGGTAAAGGGCTTTCCCTAGGTCATCTCCTCGGAGTTCTTGAGGAGTTCTTCTCTCGTATGGGAATGTCGTCCAAGCTCCGTCTCAAGCCGGCTTTTAATCTGTACATGGAGCCCAACATGGAAATTTTTAGCTATCATGAAGGATTTAAGAAGTGGGTGGAGGTTGGGAATTCCGGCATGTTTAGGCCGGAGATGTTGCGATCGATGGGGTTTCCGGAAGATGTCCGGGCGATTGCTTGGGGTCTTTCACTTGATGGGCCTACAATGATACGTTATGGAGTGAATAACATCAGAGATCTGTTTGGGCATAAGGTTGATCTTAAGCTCATTGAGAAAAACCCTATTTGCGGTATTCGTCTTCAAGGTACCGATCCTGATGCGTACGATCTTAATTTTCTGGTTCAGACATATTAATAATTTTTGGATTACTTTCTACATTGTCATCGCTTTTCACTTTAATTCATTTCTCTATATTGTCTAATCAGTTTTTTTTTTCCAATCAAGGATGAATTATTTGAGAAACCCTTCTTTTCTTTCCCTTTATTTTGTGGTGTATGTGTTTGTATGTAGTGGATCAAAAGAGTAGCAACATAAAAAAACTAAGGACAAGAAATAGCATTATTTGAAAATGTAAAAGACCAAAAAAAAAAAAAAATGTAAAAGACACAAGGAATGGATCTTTTGGTTTTTTTCCCAACTCAATTTGTTATCTTCATTCATCATTTTTTATTTGATGTGATATTCAATCTGACTAAAAAATTATGCTTTATATACCGTATGTATTTACAAGGTTTCAATCAGCACTACATTCATATATGCGGAGATTCGTAAGCATATCAGAAGACAATAGGGATATCCATCCTAGACCATGTATGTATCTAGTGGTGTTTTTCATTTGCATTACACCCTCTAAAAGCACGATTTACACGTTTTAAATGATTCTACATTTAGGGAAAAAAAATGCCGACAATATCCGGAATAGTTGGTTGGTTTGGTGATACTAGTGTGTTAAGAATACTACGTAGTACGTTTGAAAAGTAAGTTTTGGTGATTTAAAAGGTCTGTTTGGTTTTTATTCATTGGTCGGTCACAAATGAGGTCCATCCTATCCTATGACATGATGGATGATGTCAATTTCGTAACGAACTCCCTTTCTCCCATTCCAATTTTTTATTCTTTAATAAAAAAGGCGGGATTAAATTCGACATAAAGAATCTGGGTAATACTACTAGGGAATGAAATGGTAACAACAAGTTGGTTGATCAATTAGTCCATTTAATTTATGCTGGAACAATAAAAATTTGGTGGTGGCTGCGGAATTGAGGATTATATCAACTGAGTGAAAAATTTGATCCCTCATTTTTACAGTCTTCAACTCCCAAATTCTCACAAGAAATGTCTCACCATATGCACAAATTAACCACTTAATACAAAAGGAACAAAAAATTCTTGCACCATGCATTTTTTTTTATATATATAACTTCAAAGAGCTCTTTCTTTGTGATCTGATAGTTAAGTATGTATGTAGATTTCGTTTTGGTATACCCTCACCGGTCTCAAGAGAAATTACTTATTAAGATCAAAACATTAATCATAACTCATTTTGTGAAACGGATAGAATATTTTTTTTTTTTTTGTAATTTCAACGGTCCATCGTGTATGTATTCGGTTAGTGAACATCCCTTAAGACTTAGGAGAATTTTCTGTACTCTGTTCCAAAATACCAACCATAATTATTTTATTGATTTAGTTTAATAATCAAACATTTGCTTTGTAACTGAAAGGATTTGGTAGGGCGGGATATAACTATAAATATACATAATACCCCCAGCTGTTTTTAAGTGTGAATTCCACATCGGCCTCGACTCATAATTTTTCCCCTATTTAAGATGACAAAACTTACTATTGTTTGCCGAGCTTAGTAACGTGAACTTGTCATCCAAATGGAGGCAACAAAGTGATTGGACTTACCCATTATTGGGTTGTACATTTACTGTCCTTTGGGGCATATTGTCACGTCCTTGGACCTAACTGTAAGAATTAAAAAGTTTAGGGACTAAGGTATAATTTTAGAAATAGGTGGACTATAAAAAGTCTATCGGGGTTGTAATCATATTATCGAAAATATTGTATCGAACTGAAATTTTCAGTTTCGTCTCTCTTCTCCGTTTTCCCCAATCTCAAACCCTAATTTTCCCGATCACCTCTGAATTTCTCCGATTCGCCTTCCGGCCACCTCCCCGAGGCCCCTAGTCGTGACATTTGGTATCAGAGCCGGCTGATTCTTGGCCGAGTCTATATCGGATATCACCGATTCGTTCATCCTCTTCTTCCCCTTCTTATTTCGCAACCTTCTAACCTCTGAAATCCCATTTCTTCCTCCCTTTGTTCTAAAATATGTGTGATTTCTTCATTCTCTATATCGCACCAACCTTTAATTTTGCCGTTTCGTTAATGGAATTCATTAGTTCTGGCGATTTCCGATCTAGGGCTGAAACCCTTTTATCTCTTCCACCGTCCGAAGTTTTCCTCTTAGAACCGACCCTGTTTGGTCTTCCCAAGCCTTCCCCATTCGGAGTATTCCTTTTTACAGGCGAAGAACTCAGTGAGTGGCTTGACCGTATAGAGCCCTTTTTCTTCTATAATCGAATTCCTCCTAATGAGAAACTCTTCACCACCTCTTTTTACGTGGCCGACAAGCCTCTCCTGTTCCTATGTGGTGGTCAAACCATGATTTCGTCCGGGTTTGACCGAGTTTGACTAGGTTTTTAAAAATCCAATTCATTTTAGAAACCGAACTGGTCAAGGCCTCCGGTTCCCGAGCTAACCGGTTCAAAATTTCCAAACTTACTCTTTATTTTTCTTTTTTTGTCGTTTTAGAATTTGCATAGGTATTAAGAAACAATCATTGATAATTTAAATTTTAAGTATAATATCTAATTAACCGTATTGGAACTCTACAAAAATTTGAAATTAAAGTAAAATGATAGGTAGTTGTCATTAATATATATTATTAAAAGTAGAGGGAGATAAGGGTGACACTGAAAAAATTGTATTTAATACCGCATTGGAAATGAAGTGCGATAGATAAAAAAACATTTAGATTCACCCTAAAGCGACAGATAAAAAAATAGAATTAGTATTATTGGCAAATATTTATTTTAATGAGGTTAGTTGAAGATATTCTAGTAATTTACTTGTCCTATTTAAGAGTTTCTTAAACTATGTGTAATTTATCTAATGACACTTTTTTTTTTAATGGAGGGAGTAAATGGAAGACCTTAATAATTTTAAAATTAATCAATCCAAAGTTTGTCGCACTTTCTTAATATTGACATGAAAGTTCATCACCATTTATGACTTTGATGCATATTGTTGATAGTAATCGCCTTCTACACATATGATTAAATAGATGTTGCTTAAGGTAACTTTACTGGTAGAAAGTGGCCTAGGATCCGCTGGGGTGGATTTAAATATATATATATATATATATATATATATATATATATAGAGTGCCGCTTAGGAAAAAGGTGTAGCCCCTAGAATCAGTAGGAGATTATTTAAATTAATAAGAAATTAATGAAATAAGGGTTTGACCGGTTAATTTCTCAAAGTTTTTGTTAAATTGATCAAAATTAATGAGAAAAATATTTTAGGATACTCATTTTATTGAGTGAAGTGTATGGTGACTTGGACTTGCTTGGGGTCTGAAAGTGAGTTTTGTCCATCAAAACATATATGAGTTTTTCAAAAAATTAAAAAAATCTTCCCAGTTATACTCTTCAGGCTCACTCCTCTCCCGGCGACGGCGTCCTACTCCATTTTCCTGCTGGCAGCGTCATCTTCATGAATATTTTCCAAACAACATAATTTTAACCATAAAGAAATTTCTGCCAAATCATTATTGAGGTTCAAACGTGCACATCAAAGATTTGGCTCTCTATGATGGAGGATCCTTATTTTGTAGACATTCACCATCTCCGATCCTACAACCAACCCGTAGAGTCAAACTTTTGGTTGCTTCTCGTATCAATGATAATGATGATGATATGAAAGATCTCTTGTACATCAAATTTAATCTTTTGACCTAATATAGCAAATTGTTGTTTGTTAATGGAGCCAGAATTTTTTCATTTAATCAGCAGCAAAATCGAGGAGCGACATTGGCGGAACAGGGAAGGTTTGGCCGAAGGGGTACAGTATGGATGGGTTTTTTTCCTTGAAAACTCATATTTGTTTTTATTATCATATTGAGTTAATTAATTAATTAGATGAATTAATCAAAGTTTGGTTTGACTATGAATAAGTTAAGTTAAGGGACACCTATCATCATTTTAGATGGTGTCACAAGAAGTGTCATACAAATGTGGCACAGAAGACTCAAAGCTTGTGTGAAGAGGTTACTGCCAAAATTCCCATATAGTGACCAAACTCCCTAAGTATAATTATAAGGTGGGAGCCAATATGCTCCGCGTGTGCCCAATATATTGAATAGTAGATTTTTATTTGGAAGAATTTCACCTTTGTGTCTTTCAATGGAATGAGGGTTATGTAACATGTAGTAAACGACATTATTAAAAAATTTAATAATTGATATCAATTGTAATTATAACTTTGAATTAGTAACATGTGTACTTTTACACTGAGAAGAGAAGACAATGAGAACTGTTTTTTAAGCAAAAGTCATGATAAACGTGAAGTTCACAAGCTATCGTTTTAATGTATATTGGGATAAGATCTGAATGGTTTTATATTATTAGTGTTGTTTTAGGTATTTTATAGTTTTAAAATTTTTTTGGGGGAGATCAATTTGGTTTTGTAATAAAAGTTTATATGAAGTTTATGTGTATTAAAAAAATAAAGTAATTTTTTATAATTTATTTTCACTTTTGTGGGACATAATTCCTGGTTTTATATTATTTTCACACCGTTTATGTGTATTTATTTTCACAGTCTGTAGCTTGCACCAAAATCTATTAATACTTTCATGTTGTGCATGCTCAATATGATTTGAAGCGCATGTCCAATTTGTAACTAAACAAAACCAAAAGAAGAAGAAGAAGAAGTAAAAAAGAAATAAAAGAGTTAAAGTTTCATTTACTTGTTTAAACTTTTAAGCCCTTGAATTCAATTGAATAAATTCAAAAACTGGAGGAAGAATGTCTATTACAAATTTAGCTAAGAAGTTTATGTTCATTTAGCTAGGAAGTTTACTCACTAAGCGCACATTGCTCATGAAGTTTATGATGATATTTCTATTGGCTTCAAGTTGTCTACTTCCTTCTTTAAAGGATTCATCCAATTGACAAATCATCATATTGTGCTAGTGCTTAACATCAACTATATCTTGTTTAGATAATATTAACTTGATACGATAGATTACAGATAATCTAAAAACCTTCAAGACTGAAAAA